ACTAGATTAGAAAGCAAAAGGAAGGCCCCTTTTTCTTAGAGCATTTATTCCCCTAGGGGTTTTGCCAGAAGGCAGACTCCTAAGTTATCAAACTCAAAATTTTTCTCAATTCCTTCTTTTTTCAGTTTGCTTCTTGCGGTTAACTCCATTACTAACTTATAGCGATAAACACCTGGAGTCTATCAAAAACAAAGAGAGGTTTATTCAGTGGGTACAGCCCTGCCTGGTGAACACCCTGAGCAGAAACAAACTACATAATATAAGACTTGAGCAGGAATATGTTTTTTATGATGTGCCAGCAAAAGGGGGATCAAAGGCTAAAGCCAAATAAATAGCAACTGGGCACCAGCAGAGGAAACATATTTAGACTTTAAAATAATCAAAAACAAACCCAAAGAACACTAACACCCTCCACATTCAGCAGTCATATTTTCCTTCTTTTTATACAGGGCTTAAACCTGTCAAGAGTTTTTGAAGCTAATCACTGAAACTAAAGTAGAATTCTGCCTTTCACTGAGGTTGTGACAATAACCAAAAAGACTGGGCATGAATAGATAGACCCTCCCCCTACCCCCACCCCCGCTTCTTCAAGCCAACCCCCTCCTCTTTCTCTATTGGTCCATTATTGAATTTGCCTTGGCCACGTTATGGAATTTGCCGGCTGACATTAATCCATTTATTGAGCTTGACTCCTCCTTATCTAAAACATCTCTGGGCAAACTGAAACAATCTGTCTGCCATCCACTGATTGGCAGGGCAAATTTTTCCAGGTGGTACAACCACCGCCCCTCAAATGACTTGCCAACCGTATTTCAGTCTGGCAGAATGATTAAAAGAAGACCGGGGCCACCATTGTTCACAACCATGCACAACCATGTTTAGTACCTGCAATGTATTTACATAAACAATTTTAAAAGATTAGCCCTTTTGGGAAAAAAAAAAGTTGAGGATGGGGGGGCCCAGTGCCAAGAGGAGGAGGTAGATGGGAGAGGGGAGAACTGACAGGCTCAACCCTGAGGGCAAAAAGCTACATCTGTCTTTGATTTGTCAGGGATTTACATTAGTGAAACTTTAACTCTGCAGATGATACATAAGATTACACTTACAGGACAAGCTTATGCAAATACAGCTTAAACAACATGGTATGTGGCCCAGACAGTGAATTTGGCAGATTTCATTGAGTCTGGTGGCTGGATCTAATAAATTCATTTACATGAAGGATTAGAACATCTGGAAAAGTAGCATGGTGGTTTATTGAAACATAAATAACATTAATTGAAAGGTTACAGGTATGCAAAGCACTTCATGCAGGCAATGCAAAATGTTACAAAGCTGCTTCCCTATTCCCCTAAAGAAAAGAGAAAAATATCTTGCTAATATAAACAGAAAACGTCATTTCCAGGATCTAATTTAAAAGTCATTTTAGATAGTAAGAGTGAGAGAGCCAGCCCATTTCTTCATCCTGCTTTGTAACAAACCCTCTTTTTCCAAATCTGTACTGGGCTGCCCTTCTGATACACATCTCAGGCACTAATTAGCAGCAGCAAGGTAGTGACATAATTAAATTTATTTTCAGTTACAAATCCCCAAACTGTCATGCCATTTTGCAGACAGAGAAGCATGGTTGAGGTCTCCAGCTATTTCTTCAATGAGTTTATTTTTATTTTAGTGCTGTAATGTATACTCACTGGTAATGTGGACTGCCGGTTAATGTCTCGTGGAGTTGGTTACCATAAGCATAATAACAAATTACCCAGAGGAAAATGAGCAAAGATTGATATCATATGATTTAAAAGCTGAGAGGAAAGCTCAGGTGGTTTACAATCAGTTGAGTACCTCAAGATGAATTTATAACTTGGTAACCCATTCAAATTCCCCTTCATCATTTATTCTCAAATAAAAAGATGACTTAAGCTGTTCAGTCACCCAAAATGCCTCCTGCCCACAGCAATAGCAAGCCATTCCTTCTAAAAGGATCGTTTTCATTATAAGTCATTATCAAAATGCTGACTTTGAGAAGCCATGTAAATGAGGAAGCAGGAAATCTAGTATTCTCTTAGGTAAGGAGACGGCGTGGAGCCCACTTTAGAAACTCTATGTGGATTTGACATAAAGCAATCAAGTAAAGAGTTCTTTGACCAAAATTGAAAGGAAACCCCTGGCAATTTTTTTTAATGAAAAATAAGATTTAATGGAGTGATTGATACCCTTTGGAGAGTCACAAGATTTAAAAAAGAGCACAAGAGAAATATCCTAGACGATCTTGTTTCCCATAATAATAAGAAAGTAGACAACATGATTTTTGCCCTTAAAGCACTAATAGAATCAGAAAATAGAAGAAATCTTTACTGACCATCTGCATTTCAACTCTCACCATTATAAATGTGATTCACAGAATGTATAAAACTTTGATACTGCTTTTTTAAACTGAAGTATAGTTGATTTACAATGTTGTGTTAGTTTCTGGTGTGCAGCATAGTGATTCAGTTTTATATATATATATATTATATATATATATAATATATATATATATATTCTTTTTCAGGTTCCTTTTCATTACAAATTACTACAAGCCATTGAATATAGCTACCTGTACCATACAGTAGGACCTAGTCATTTACCTATCTTGTATATAATAGTTAGTATCTGTCAATCTCAAACTCCCACTTTATCCCTCCCCACCCCCTTTCCCCACTGCTAACCATAAATTTGTTTTCTATATCTGTGATCTTGTTTCTGTTTCTGTTTTGTGCATAAGTTCATCTGTGTCTCTTTTTTTTAGATTCCACATGTAAGTGATATCATACAGTATTTCTCTTTCTCTTTCTGGCTTACTTCACTTGGTATGATAATCTCTAGGTCCATCTATGTTGTTGCAAATGGCGGGATTGCATCATTTTTACAGCTGAGTAGTATTCCATTGTATGTATGTACCATAGCTTCTTTACCCGGTCGTCTGTCAGCGGATATTTAGGTTGCTTCCATGTCTTAGCTGTTGTACATGGTGCTGCTGTGAACACTGGGGTGCATGTGATACTGCTCTTGAGAGGGTTTCTCTCGTAACAGGCAGTCGAAATTGGTCAAGAGCAACATATTGCCACAGTAAGTTTATTTTTCTACGTGGGATGTTAAAAAAGACATTAGAAGGCAAAGATCTTTCTTAAATAGCTAAATATAATAGTCACATTGCAAAAAAAAAGTCATGTTTATAAATAACCATGATTCTCTGAAGAATAGTGAATTTGATATTTCAGATTTTCACACAGAAATGTCATTTGACCACACAGTGACAGAATCTTATCCACGTAGTTTGCCCAACAGGATGTCTCACTACTGCTCTTCACATGGAACAGCTGGTCAATAGTATTGCGGGGATACCAGGAAGCACAACTTTATGTATAGTAACATTGGCTAGTCTGCGAATTTAGGGGAAAAGTATTGCTTACAAATGAATCCAATGCTTAAAAGAGAGGTGTGACCTCCCCAAAACACCAAAACCAAAACCAAAACCAAAAACCAGTGTAATCTTCATAATACTGACCAGGCCTCAGTGGTCATAATAACTTATATTGTAATCAGAATGATCAGTAATAACCTACCCATCCAATAAATCCTCAGGATAATTCAGAAGGATAGTTTCCTTAGACACTTTCAGAAAGATCTTAGACACCAAACGTCGCTTGATGCTTATCACAGTTTTTGTGTGTTTTGACACTGAGAATGCAGGGTTTGACAGGAAGTGCTCATTGACTTTCTTTGAATCACTGAATGAGGTTGCAATAAGCGTTCCTCACCACATGGGATTTTAGGAGGAAATGTCACAGGTGATGAGAAGTAATGCAGGGAGCTCACAGAGGTCAAATTCAAGACTTGTTTCCTATGACAAGTCAACCAGAGTATTCGTGAGTTTGACCTTAGTAAATGGAATTACCTATTGCGTCTATATAATTATTTAGATTTTAGAAAAGGTGCCAAGCACACTCAGCACTTAAAACCAGTGCTGCACATTTGTAAGATGCTATGATTGAACAAGAACAACTTATGGATGCCAAAGTGATAAAGTTTGCAGACAGGAATCTGGTTGATGACCTTAAAGTTTGGAGACCTTGGACAAATTACTCAATGTGTCTTACTTCCCTCAGCTGTAAAATGAGGATAATAAAAGTATCTACCTGATGGCACTGCAGTAAGTATTAAGTGACTATAAAAAAATTATATATATACAATACCCTTAAAGTTGTTCCTGGCACATACACAAGCCTTTGTCACTGCTACTATTGCTACTGCAGTAGTGCTCGGTGGGGCCCAGTACGTAACAGCTACAACTTACCTATAACTTCTGCTATAATTTCTAGAAGGAGCTAAAAAATGGCAGTAGGTTGCAGAGATTAATTTAACAATGCAAACTCAGTTCATTCCAAAACAAGAAGTAGTAACCCAGGGCCTGTGAGAAGCTCACCGATATGGAAAAAGGCAAGAAGCATTTCTTAAAGAGGAATCTTAAGGTGACTAAGAGTGACGGTTTCTGAGACAAACCGAGTGAGAAAAGCCTTAGACTAAAGATGATCTTTCGTAAGAGTCGCGAGAACAAAGAGAAAGAGAAAATTGAAAGAAAAAAAAATGCTTGTCAAGGAAACGAAGTAGGAACTCATGAAGAACCACTGAATCTAGAGGTTAAAAGGAGAGTACACAACCATTAAAGGGATGTGACTTCCCCAAACCATCTTAAAGCTTAGAGCTGTTGGTAGTAAGTTTCTGAGAAATAATGATGTATTGTCAAATTAACCAAACTCTACAGAACCCATTTAAAACTCAATTTTAAGTCCAGAAATATATATAAAGTTCACAAGCATTACTTTAAATAGAAGGAAGAAGTTCAAGATGTCTTTGAAAGAAAAGAATATTAAAAGGGATCTATTTCCACAACTTCAACAGCCCCTTCCCTACATGCACATAAACTTCATCCTGACCCCTCCTGAGTATCTGATCCCTAACAATACCTAGATGTACTTCAGGTTCTTCAGGTGTCAGTTGCCCAGGGATGAACTTATTTCTTTCACTGCCCTCTTCTCCAAAAAGCTCCCCCTTTTTTGTCTGAAAATGACATCACCATAGTACCAGGTGCCCAAACTCAATGCCTCCCTTTCTCTCTTTCATCAGCCAATGAAACAGTAAATACTGTTGACTCTGCCTCTTCCATTTCCCTCAAATCCATACAGCCCGTCCCCGCCCAGCCACTGCCTTGTTAAAGAGAGAGGATCATTTAATTCACCTGCTTAACGTTTCCCATCTCCTTTGCCTGTAAGTGGAAGTTCCTTGGTACAGCATATATGGTTCTTTCCAGTACCCAAGACAGGCATGGGGGATGCTTACTGGGGCCAGTGTTTTGCTAATCTGTGATGTAGAGTGCTTTAGTTCTCTGGAATTTTTTCTTTTCAGTCTAGGTCAGGAGGGAAAAAAAAAAAAAACCAACAACAGGAAAAAGAGCACCTCACCAATCATATTTCTCCCACTGAGTCATTTCATTAAACTTCTCTCTATCACACAACATACCATGAATTTTTCACAGCTCTGGACACTTGAACATGTTATTTCCTCTCTCTCCAATGAGCGGGCTTCCACCCATCCATCAAGATTCAGCTCAAATGTCACCTGCTCTATGCAGCTTTCCCCTACTTCCCAAGGCAGAGTTTATTCCTCTCCACTGTGTTCCCACAATGTTTTTGGACCTCTCCGTGAAATATATTTTTCATTTACAGTCTCAATAGCCAGGATCTCCAGGGCTAAGCACAATTCACAGAAGGCACTTAACAAATGTCTATTGGACAACTGAATCTAGAAGTGTCTAAAATGACACTGTCATCAGAAGCAGGTAACAAAGCAAATGTATCAATTAAATTAATTCCTTAAAGACAGATGGATGGAAATCAGTTAAGTGGAAAAAGATTCCCAAAAGAGATGGTTGGCACAAAACACAATTTAAAAGGAGCTTTTAAAAGTCTCAGAAGAAAAATGTGTATTTCAAATCATTATTTACTTGTGGTTCTAACCTTGAGAACATTTTAGCTGAATGAATGTATTCAGACTTGTAGGGGAAAGTCTGAGTTTTTCATTGTCTGGTACAAATCAAGGAGAACACCAACTACCTCTCAGTTTACCCGACTTTCCCTAGTCACTCTCTTAGCCTTCGATCTTGTCTACAAAACATTCCATTGTCAACTTTTCCACCCTACTTCCAAATCCCATTTCTACCAAAATCATGGGCAAAATTGAGTGGCAGTGACTACTTGGCATCTCACACAATTAGAGTAGAAAAAAGGAGTGAGGGCAGCCTCTGATGGCCCAGCCAGCTGAGGACATTTCTATGACCCAGCTAGGATACTGGGAGGGCAGTTACACTCAGTGCATCGGCTATCGTTTACTTTCCTTGCTACCACATTTAACTCTCAGCCACACCAAACAATTGCAGTGATGTGTTTCACCCTTCCTTACCTCAGCCCGAGTATGGTCTACGTGAAGATTGTGCTCATTTCTACTCATTGGCTGGACCCACCACCCGGAGAGCTGCTGCTGTTTCAAGCCCCAAATATCAGTAACATTTATTCTAGTTATTCTCATAAGATGGTTCTGTGGTTTGACACCTGTCCTGAGGCTCTGTGACTGACTGTAAAGGCTGATAGGTCAGTTTTAAAACATGGCCTCAAAATTCTTGACAGTTTCCTGTTGAGAGGTGGATCTGTGTTCCTCCCTCTTGAATCTAGGTGGTGTGATTGCAAGACCCACAGCCAAAGGAAATGCTGCCCTGCCCACTTTGCACTCAGGCCTTAAGAAACTGGCAATTTCTTCTTTCTGTCCCTTGGGACTCTTGCTCCTGGAACATGCCCCTAGGAAGTCCAAGTAGCTCAGGTAGAGAGGAACCAAGGCCCACAGCTCACATCCCTGGCAGAAGTCTTAACCTGACTGCCAGCACCATCTTGCCACCAAGATTCTTGCCTTGAACAAACTTTCCTGAACCTTTTCCTGGGTCTGTCTGTGAACTTCCTTATAAAATCTAGTTTTAGCAAGAACTCTGCTAAGTCAGTTTAACCAGACTCCCCTCCCACCCTTGATCTCTAATCACCCTTGTTATCTGATCAGGTTTCTCATCTGCTATCATCACCCAGATGATGTCTGATCTTCAGAAGGAATCCTGTTAGGTTAACTTAGCCAGAATCTCCCTTACCACTGATGTTTCCTCTTAGTAAATTTCCATCCACTGGCCCCAACCCTGCTCTCTGGCTCTAAGTTTCCACTTGCCTCTGCTGTGTTCAGAGTTGAGCCTAATCTTTCCCCCTCATTGTCAAGTTAACTACAGTGGTCCCTACCCTTACGGCGATGGTCCTGAATAAAGTCTGCCTTTTCCATCATTAACAAATATCACTGATTTTTTTCTTTTCTTTAACACAGCCAATATGAATGTCATCTTGAATGTAAATCCTCAACACCCTTGGTACGCTTCCCCATCAGATGCTGCATGGAATAAAGATGGGCTGTCCCACTAGCCTCGCCAAAATTGCAAGTTGGGGACCAAAATAAATGCTGGTTGTTATTTTACCCTAAGTTTTGGGGTGGTTTGGGACACAGCAATATGTAACTGATAGAGCAGGTAATTTGCTAATGAATGACAAGAAAGTGCTCAGTTCCAGACCAAATTTTCACGTAAGAAAACCATGATGGACTTATAAGCCATTTTGCTAAAGAAAATGTTTTTTTTTAACTTCTTATTCTGGAAAAGTTTAAGTCATACAAAAATAGTGAAATGAGTCTATCCATCATGCATGCATCCAAGACCCAGTCTAAATAATTATCAACTCATGGTAAATCCACCATGGATTTTAAAGCAAATCCAAGGCATCCTATCATTTCACTGTTAAATACTTAAGAGTGTGTCTCTAAAAGACCACAATTCTTTTTAAAAATGTAACATTGAGATTTTCACATCTAAAAAGAAATTGACAATAAGTGACTAACATTTCCTTAATACTACTGAGTAGCCTATCACTGTTCAGATTTCCCCAACTGTCTCTAAAGAGTTTTGCTTTGTTTCAGTCTGTTAGTCAGGATTCACACAGTACATTTACTTTGATTTATCCGCTTCTATCATTTAAAAAATCTATGGGCTCTCCCTCTTGTTTTAATTTTCCCTCGTATTTTATTTATTGAAGAGCCCTAGTCATTCGCCTGTCCAATTTCTCATAGTCTGGATATTGCCAGCTGTATTTCTATGGTTTGGTTTAACAAGTTCCTGTTCCCCATGTGTTCAGGTGGTGATAACCAGAAAGTTGGTATACTCTAGGTATATTTTAAATTTTTTTGTTTTGCTAAAGATTGATGCTTGGAGGGTTTTATCAAGACTTATGTCTGGGTCATGAAAGGTCCATTATGTGTTTGTTTTACTGTGAGAGAAATGCCCAGCTCAGACTTGGTTACGGAGCCAGTTACAGCACAGCTCCAGGGGTCCTGTGACAGCAATGTAGGCTCCTCGGACACAGACCAGATCTTCTCCTGTGTAACTCTGACGTCTCCTGCAACTGCCTTCCACAAAAAAATCACACGAACTGATCCATTTTACAAACAGGAAACAAAGATGAATAATAAAGTAAAAATATCTGTCTTCAAGAAGACCCCACTCTAGTGGGCACAAAGGTACAATTTATAGCAAAATGTGGCAGCTGTAACTGTAGGGATAAACAATGTCATGGGGATACCTGCCTGGGGTTACTTCTCCTTTGCTGGCAAATGAAGCTTTCTCTAAGGCGGGCAGAGGGGTGTTTAGAGTGTGGCTGAGAGAACATGGATTCTGGTAATGTTACTATCTGGTTTCAAATCCCAGCAACTCCATTTCAAATTATCAAAACTCTATCTGCCTTGGCTTCTTTATATAGGGATATATAGAAAGGGAAAATATAGGGATAATAAAATAATAACAATAAATTGTTGTAAGGATTAGCAACATTAATGCTTGTGAAACACTTAAATCAATGCCTAGGATACCCTAGATGTTTGCTTTTATGTAAGCTACCGTGAAAGCACGTGGGTCTAATAAAATGTTTTGAGTCTCTGTTGAGATGATAGACTACTAGATTCATACCAAAGAGCCTGGCTTGCTGGGAAAGGCTTAGTCTTGGCTGCAAAAGGCATGAATCTGGTATAGATTTTTCCATACTATTACAGACTATCTAGACACAGGGCCAGCTCCATCCATAGTAGAGTAAGAAGTTGTTGATTCAGAATTGTTTAAGAACTCTGCCCCCACTCCAACCAAACTATCTGCCTACTTTGGCCATTGGAATGACTTTGGACCGAGAATTTCAGGACACATAGTCTCAGATGGCTGGGAAGGGATAATGCCCCTAAACCATTACCCTGACAGAGACTCATTTTTCAGATTAGTCATTTCCCATTCCTCAAGGCCTTCTTTGAGTAATCAGATGCAGAAGTCAATCTGATGTTAGGAAGAGGTCATGAATGTTCTAGGGCTTGAAATGTGCCAGCAAAACAGATCCATGTGATGTAATGAAATAAAAGGCTTTAGGCACCCAATGAGCAACTTGATATCAAGTATCTAAGAGAGGGGTAACAGGTGCACTGAAGATGACCTGCACTGCAGAGTGTATGAAGGCTAAGTCTTCAGTCTTCAACTTTTGCCTTCCTTCATGCCATCCCTCTTCATTTGTGTCCCATCATGTAGTCAATGTCCCTTTGTACAACTACTACCTTTTTCCTTAGCAAATACTCTACTCGGGAAAAGCATCTGAAAGGATCTGATGCAAACTACTTGCACTTTGGTTTTTAAGCCTTCTTTTAATTCTGGAGTGAAAAGTTTGGCTTCTCATTAAAGAAGTTCCAAGCATTTTGGAAGGAGTTAGGCTTGTTCTTACCTGGAAGTCTTCCCCATGCCCTTGGTGGCACAGGCTGCATTACCTGGGATATTCAAACACTTAAGAAAAATCTGCAAGTCCTAATGAGATAGGACATGTTACCTGCTATTTAATCACTTAAGAAAGATCTCCAAGCTTAAAAATATGTATAACTGAATCACCATGCTGTACAATAGAAACTAACACAACATTGTAAATCAACTATACTTCAATCAAAAAAAAAAAAACACCAGAAAAATAGAAACAACAGCACAAACAACCTGAAGACAGGTCTGTCTGCCTTAGAAAGATATAGACATTGGCCGTGGGCTCTCACCTGCTGTACAAAGGCTTACAATTGGCTCTCATCTCTCTGTTGCTTTGGGTTCCTCATATGTCAAATAGCTTCACCAAAATAAATCATGTGTAAGACCATTCTGGTTTAGAGATCCAAAAAGAGAGAGAGAGAGAAGATTGAATCTAGTTTAGTCTAGCCTGCCTGATTGGGGGAAGTGAAAAGAAGGGAAATTAGGGGTTGGGGAACTGAAAATAAGGAAGTAAACCACATTTGGACAAAAAAGTTTTCTAATCTGTTTTGTGTTTTACAACATAAAATCTACTAAAGGAAATGAAGTGCAATCAGTGTCTGCTTTGGATTTTTTAACCTGGGTTAAACATAAATTTTGGAACACAATTTTAAAATATTTTTAAAAAATGTCCATAGCCAGTCATTTCACTGGCATCTCTGAAATATGGGGAAAAATTTTCATGGCACCAATTATGCTACCTAACAATTCTTGGAATTATTTTAATAATGACTAGCCATTCAAATGATGGTGGTTATCTCCACATAGAGCTCTTGGCTTAGTACTTCCTTGTCTTGTCTTTCAACAAGAAAATAATTTAAAAAATAACAATGTCTATCTTTGACTGTCTATGTATTTTGTTTAAACTCTT